GTGTGTGTGCTATTTTTTCGGCACCGGTGCTTCTTGTCGCTCTTTTGCTCTTTTTGCCTCAATGGAGTTGAATCCAAGCTGCATGCACTATATACACACCAAGGCAACGAACCACTTTTCGGCCATTTTGGTTGGCTATCTGACACCCTGACAAGCAGGCCATAGACCAAGGAACCTTGAGTTGATTGTTGGGACTCACATGTCCTACTCCCTCAATCCAAACCTTCGGTGCACAACCAGAACCGCAACCACAATCGCAACGAGAATCGCACTCACGATGGCAATGGCAACAGCAACGACAAGACAGCGACAAACTGTTTCAGGGTTCTCTACGGCCTTAGCCCCTCAAGGCTTCCACGCTTAGGATTGAAGGCTTGAGGTTTCTCAGAGGCCACCAGGTTCGAGGCGCTAGGCATTAAGCCTTTTCAGCCATCGGTGAAACTAAAGTTCCGACGTTGTGGCTGCTGCCTGTGGCACAGTGCTTTCTGCGACACTTACGTTTACAGGTTGTTCAACAATTCAGATCTACCTCGTCTACCTGTCAATGGCTGCCGGCTATCAGGTGCTTGGGCTTGGGTGTTTTACGGATGACGGTGTTTTATGGTATGTGTGTCACGGTATAGCAAACATTGAGACCATCTCATCAGGTTGCCCAACACCTTACACTTTGCACGGCCCAAACTTTGTGCTCAACACCTGAAACCACAGAGCCCTAGGCGATGATGAAACCTTATGTACCTCTGAAACCCCCAGCTGTTGAAGAGGCCTCCGTACTGCGATGTCGGAAACTGAGATGAAGAAACGAGTTGCAGCTTCGGGCCTTTCGGATGATGGCGAATGCCATGACAAAGCCCTGAGACGACGATTTGCCTACAACAAACAGAGAACAAGCCTTGCTCCCTCAAACGGCATGTCAACATGCGTGGATCGCGTAAGCCGAACGCAATAGCCTGAAGCTTGCAGACAAACCCTGACCTGCGCCTTGTGTGCGACAGCCCAGGCCCACTTCCCAAGAGCCCGGAACGCTTTCAGCAACGAAACCTAAACTAAAACCCGACGTGCTCTGCTGCAGCCAGCTGCCTCTATTGCCAGACGCTGATGTCCGAAAGGATGAGTTTAGAGCCGATGGCGCCACCACACTGAGCCTGCCGCACAGGAGCAGCAGGTTGTTCACAAGGCGTGCGGTTTGGGACTACCTGTTATGCCTTGGGGCTTAGGACCTGGGGTGATTTTAGAATTCAACTTTACTTCGCTTGTTGCCACCACTATGTCGAGGACGGCGATCTCCTTGAAGGGGATGGAGACTTTCATGGCATGTTGAGACATTGAGAAACCCAAGAGTGCCAATGCAAGGCTTTAGATCTACTAAACCTGTTCGTCTCGGTCCGGTTTTGGGGCTTCGGCACAAACGTGTCAGGGGATGTGACTCGTAACTTGAAACTCAACCCAACAGCCAAAGCCACACCCCAGATGGTACATGCATCAAGAGATCTATGTGGGGTATGAATGCGGCCTGACAGGCATCCCCGCCCCAGAAGCACGGAGCACCACCGTAGCCACCCACTGCAATGTTGAGCACAATCTTCCTAAGCACCAAGGCGGGGCACGCAAGCAGTAAGTACTGCGAGCCTGCCTTCCGGAAATCAGGATTTAGGAGGTTCGGAATATAGGAGCTTTGGAATGTAGGAGCTTCGGAAGTCGTTTCAGCACTACAGATTTGGGGACTTGGTGTCTTATCAGATCCCCTGCTTGAAAGATGTCTTCGGATCAGACAGCTCAGACACGAGTTTGCGTGGGTCTGGAAGTTGATTGTCTGAGGAGTATCTGGGCTTCCAATCGCGGTTACACTGCGCGGACTTACGTAAAGCGTATAAGGCCCTTGAAAACTGCAAAACCCTCAAACTTCGGAACCCACGAGGCCCGGAGTATCATTGGATGATTTGACTTCCCAGAGCTCTTGGAATCAAATCTCTTAGAAACTGCTCAGCTTTCAGCACTCCAAGAACGGTAGACATATGACCGGAGACCTTACGAACGGGCCGAGCGGCATGGGAATGTCAAACGGCGCATCCGCAGAATGGCGGCCAGGGAAACACTTCCCCATGTAGTCCTTTTCGGCTGGTACCATCTAGGAGTAGGGGCTAAACCCTAAACCCTAAAGCGGGCATGTTGCCTGGAGTGCCGATATCGGATTCTAGGCTTCTAGGCTTTAGGAATTTTGTGGAACTTCGAACTTAGGGCTGGGGTGTCGGACTCACCCAGCAAAGCCTGCACTGCAGACCATGTCGGCGTCGTGCTACCTGGCAATTGCTCTGTTTTGACACTCAAGGCTAAGAACGCATCGGGTGACCCTAGAGGACATGATTTTGGATGTCTACTTAGAGACTGATGTAAAGCCGCCTCCCTGTAGCCTAGCCCCAAGGTGGCCTGGATCGGGGATGGGAATCGGAATACGACTCTATATAATACGTGACCCCTACCCCAGTTCCTACCTGGGGAACCTCACCACCTGCCAGCCACATCGCCAACACGCCGACCAACAAGCATAGACCTTTCTAAGTTGAGAGATGCCGATTGCGGACCAACACGATAGGTCTGCTGGCAACCCCCGAAACATCGTGATTCTTAAACCCTACACACTGCAGAGCTCCGGAAGCTACCCCGCCCTCCCGGCAAAAGACTGGCGGGCCACAATCCTGAATCGTTGCTATCCAGGTGTCGGGTTGTGGATATAACAGTGTACTGTAGGGGTACTACAGGGCTACTATGAGCGTACGATAAGGGCTCCTATAAGGGTGTTTACAAGGGTTCGGCAGCATGCCAGCCTCAGGAGCACTGGGCAGGGGTTTGGAGCTCTGAGTTTAAGTTCAGGGGTAAGCTAAAACCTCAACTCTGAAGCCTAAACCTCCAGATCAGAAGCCTTTAAATCCAAGCACTCTTGCAGCTTACTTTGAGCTTCAGGAGTCTGGCTTGAGCATTTGGGAGCCCACCATCCGCAAACGCTCACCGTCCTGTTCCGAAGCCTTGAAGCTGAAAGGCAAGGGATTCAGGGCTTAGATGCCCCTGAATCCATTCTAAGACTAAGACCGTGGACTGAGTAGAACTGGCCTATGAGGTGGGGACGAAGTGCTGAAACCCCGAAGGCAAATGCCACCAAGCCACGATGATAGGCTTTGTAGGATGCTTGGCCGTTCGAGTGCTTCTTGGCCTGCATCAGTGAGGATGTGATGAGACTCGGAAGTGATTTGGATCCCAAACTTGCATGTGTGTACAAAATCGAACTCCACAACACCAGGGTCCGAAACCCTACACCCTACACCCCAAAAGCCCAACACCTCTGCCCGCCCTCATCTCCTGCACCCCGTCCCAAAGCCTTCAAGAACTCTTAAAAAACATCACCTTGCTGAGCTGGGAACAGTGCCCTAAGGCCCAAAGGCAAATGGCTCGCGCTTCCGAGCTAGAAATATTCTTGAGCTCCTAGATCTGGACAGTGGCCATGCATAGAGTAGCAGCTTCGCATTGGGTAGAGCTCATGGCTGGAACCTTAAATCGCTCGCTGCGCCCCCAGCCCACATGCTAGGAAGTGGTCAGGTGATCACTGCTCTTAGCCTGCCAGTGCTTGCGGCTTGCAGGAAACGGATCCCGAAGACGCATAAGTTATGTCTCAAGCTTTGAAATCCCTTGACTCCCTGCTGACTTAATTACTAGGGATCCAAGCTAAGGACATAAGTTCTAGGGGTTGAACTTGCTTGGTTTAGGCTTTTGCGCTTAAGGTGAAGGTTTAGGCTAGTGCGTTTTAGGCTTCTTCCCGCGAAGCAGCTACAATAAACAAGCCTGAATAATCGACAGCCCTGTATATTCGCTAGGGCTCTCCAACATAAATGTTTACAGTATTCGTGGGTAAAAACCACAACACAAAAACCAAACCTTACCAAAACCCCTGGCTCAATCCTTCGGGCTTCTATACACTAAGCCCTCGTTTCTTCGCGATCTCAAAGCCATGAGCCTGAATCCCGGTGAGGTGCCCACTGGCATCGTAGGTCAGCTCCGGATCTACAAACCTGGTTGTGGCGCAGGTCTAGGGAGGCCTGAGGCTTTGGAGGGACATCACCACCCCAAAGCCGGTAAAATTAAGAGACTTTGGACTGTTAACCCCCCTGGAGAGTCTCGTTTCGCACGTGCGGAGCATGAAAACCTCGTAGTGCCCTTATCACCCCGAAACATGTTTATTATATGGCATCACCCAAACCCCTGTCTTACCCATGTAGAACTCCGGTTGGATCCGAAGGGGAAACAATCCTCCAATCAACTCCGGGAAACGTGGCAATAACCTCCGGCTGCCAGTAGAGGACCTCAGTCCGGAGGGCTCGGCTCAGCAGAAGCCAAACTGCCCCCAAGAAATTCGAAGAGAGCGCTTTGGTGCTGCGCACCATGAAGTGGTTCTACGAAACCCCACAGGAGCAATACAGCATACTCTTCAGACTCGCCGGTGCAGGGCTGAGAAGCCCAAGCAGGAGGACAAGAAGAAACGCTGGGGATTAGGCTTAACAGCAAGGCTTTCGGTTTTTCATAGACCAAAACCCCCGAACAAAAAAACACAAGACTCTCCCTGCGAAGCATGAAATAAACCCGAACGGCCGTACGCTCCTGGTGCAGCTCCCTCAAGCCCAGAAGAACCGGAAACCTTCGACCTATCCAGACCAGCAGCCTGAACACTGACTGAAAGTTTCAGCTAGTGTCTTGATACAATGGCTCTAAACGGTACTTGCATTTACGACTGCGTAGGGTTCAAAGATTCCCCAGTTCGGTCTTGGGG